TAATTCGCCCAGTCATGATATGCATACATTTTTGCATTTTCCTACCAATATTTTCAGTTCTACAATGATATTATTATATTAATATTTACTATCTGGTTTAGGTGAAAACTTAGTTTATTGCCCCCAAGTCATTTATTTCTTGATTGTCCCAAACACAATTAGATTTAGATTTAAGTAGATCTGTTTGCTCCATATTAATATTAGATTTTATAATTTGGGTTTTATTAACATTAATTTTATAATTAGAATAATAGTTAAATTCATTGAAATTTCCATCACTGTTGGCATTCTACATTGCTAAGCATTAGGATTACATCGTCTGCATATGATTATTATTATTATTTATAAAGCACCAACAAGTTCTGCAGCGCTGTACAATGGGTGGACTAACAGACATGTATTTGTAACCAGACAAGTTGGACGCACAGGAACAGAGGGATTGAGGGTCCTGCTCAGTGAGTTTACATGTTAGAGGGAGTGGGGTATAGTGACACAGTAACAGAGGGATTGAGGGCCTGCTCAGTGAGTTTACATGTTAGAGGGAGTGGGGTATAGTGACACAGTAACAGAGGGATTGAGGGCCTGCTCAGTGAGTTTACATGTTAGAGGGAGTGGGGTATAGTGACACAGTAACAGAGGGATTGAGGGCCTGCTCAGTGAGTTTACATGTTAGAGGGAGTGGGGTATAGTGACACAGTAACAGAGGGATTGAGGGCCCTGCTCAGTGAGTTTACATGTTAGAGGGAGTGGGGTATAGTGACACAGTAACAGAGGGATTGAGGGCCCTGCTCAGTGAGTTTACATGTTAGAGGGAGTGGGGTATAGTGACACAGTAACAGAGGGATTGAGGGCCTGCTCAGTGAGTTTACATGTTAGAGGGAGTGGGGTATAGTGACACAGTAACAGAGGGATTGAGGGGCCTGCTCAGTGAGTTTACATGTTAGAGGGAGTGGGGTATAGTGACACAGTAACAGAGGGATTGAGGGCCTGCTCAGTGAGTTTACATGTTAGAGGGAGTGGGGTATAGTGACACAGTAACAGAGGGATTGAGGGCCCTGCTCAGTGAGTTTACATGTTAGAGGGAGTGGGGTATAGTGACAGTAACAGAGGGATTGAGGGCCTGCTCAGTGAGTTTACATGTTAGAGGGAGTGGGGTATAGTGACACAGTAACAGAGGGAATGAGGGTCCTGCTCAGTGAGTTTACATGTTAGAGGGAGTGGGATATAGTGACAAAGTAACAGAGGGATTGAGGGCCCTGCCTGTGCGAGCGCCTACATGTTAGAGGGGAGGGGTATAGACACAGTAACAGAGGGATTGAGGCCCTGCTCAGTGAGTTTACATGTTAGAGGGAGTGGGTATAGTACAGTAACAGAGGGATTGAGGGCCTGCCTGCGAGTTTACATGCCAGAGGGAGTGGGGTATAGTGACAGTAACAGAGGGATTGAGGCCTGCTCAGCAGCCAAGCATGCTGGGAGGGGAGTGGGGTATAGTGACAGCAACAGAGGATTGGAGGGCCTGCTCAGTGAGCCATGTTAGGAGGGAGGGGTATAGTGACACAGTAACAGAGGGATTGGAGGGGCCCTGCTCATGAGTTTACGTGTTAGAGGGAGTGGGGTATAGTGACACAGTAACAGAGGGATTGAGGGCCTGCTCAGTGAGTTTACGTGTTAGAGGGAGTGGGGTATAGTGACACAGTAACAGAAGGATTGTGGGCCCTGATCAGTGAGTTTACATGTTAGAGGGAGTGGGGTATAGTGACAGCAACAGAGGGATTGAGGGCCCTGCTCAGTGAGTTTACATGCTAGAGGGAGTGGGGTATAGTGACACAGTAACAGAGGGATTGAGGGCCTGCTCAGTGAGTTTACATGTTAGAGGGAGGGGGTATAGTGACAGTAATAGAGGGGTTGAGGGCCTGCTCAGTGAGTTTACATGTTAGAGGGAGTGGGGTATAGTGACACAGTAACAGAGGGATTGAGGGCCTGCTCAGTGAGTTTACATGTTAGAGGGAGTGGGGTATAGTGACACAGTAACAGAGGGATTGAGGGTCTGCTCAGTGAGTTTACATGTTAGAGGGAGTGGGGTATAGTGACACAGTAACAGAGGGATTGAGTCCCTGCTCAGTGAGTTTACATGTTAGAGGGAGTGGGGTATAGTGACCCAGTAACAGAGGGATTGAGGGCCCCGCTCAGTGAG